CCGGCCACCGCAGCCTCGACCTGCTGGGCTCCGGCGATCCTTCCGCCTCAGCCTTCCGAGTAGCTGGAACTACAGGCATGCGCTACCATGCCCAGCTAATCTTTGATTTATTGTAGAGATGAGGTCTCCCCAAGTTGCCCAGGCGGGTCTCAAATCCGTGGGCTCAGGCAGTCCACTCACCTCGGCCTCCCATGGCACGGGATTACAGGCTGAGCCACCGAGCCCGGCGTGTGTCGTCTTCTTACCTAGATCTATTACATGAGGTAAAATGGAAAATGATGATCAAATTGGTCAAGAAAAAACTGTGACGGAGACAAGGAGATAAGACACTGCTGGTGGGACAGTCAATTGTGACAAACTTTGTTCAGGTCAGATTAGTCACATTGGAATACTTATCCCCTTGATATAGAAGTTTTGCCTGGGCATGTCTCATGCCTGAAATTCCAGCACGTTGGGAGGTGAGGTAAAAGGATATTTATTTATTGGTATAGAAAGCAGGATTTATTGAGAGGACAGAAAAGCTCCCACAGCGGGTGGGGACCTGAAGGGGTAGCCCGGAGTCTCACTCTTGCCGCCTGGGCTGGAGTGCAGTATGGCCTGCTCAAAGCCACCTCAGCCTTGAACTCCTGGGCTCAGGTGATCCTTCCGCCTCTGCCTTCCAGGTAGCTGGAACTACAAACACACACCACCACGCCTGGCTTCTATTTTATTTTTTTATTTATTTTTTTGAGTTGGAGTCTCACTCTGTTGCCCAGACTGGAATGCAGTGGCCGCTCCCGGCCACCGCAGCCTCGACCTGCTGGGCTCCGGCGATCCTTCCGCCTCAGCCTTCTGAGTAGCCGGAATTACAGGCGTGCGCTACCATGCCCGGCTAATTTTTTGATTTTATTGTAGAGATGAGGTCTCGCCTGCCCAGGCGGGTCTCGAACCCGCAGGCTCAGGCAATCCACTCACCTCAGCCTCCCAAAGGCGCGGGATGACAGGCTGAGCCACCGAGCCCGGCTGGCTTCTATTTTAAAAATATATTTTAAAAAAAGGAAGAAAAGAAAAGATATAAGTGTTTGATCTCTAGGAATTTATCCTTGGGAGATAATCATGATTTCTTCAAGGCACATCTAAAATGTTGAACAGTATTATTCATATTATTTTAAAATTTCAAGCAAATTAAAGATTATATTGTAGAGAATTCACTAATTAAGTTATTGTACGCCTATATATTGTAAAGATTGCTCAAAAGATGTTGTTTGAGCCCAGGAGTTTGAGGCTGTAACAATGATTGCACCTCTAAGTAACCACTGCATTCCAGCCTGGGCAACAGAGCAAGACTTCATCTCTAATTTTTTTATTTTTGTGTTTTGGTTTTTTTTAAAGTCAGGATTCTTCTGTCACCCAGGCTGGAGTACAGTGGCATGCTCATGGCCACTGCAACCTTGACCTGCTGTGCTCAGGGAATCCTTCTGCCTCAGCCTCCCAAGTAGCTGGAATTACAGTCACAAGCCACCATGCCCAGCTAATTTTTTGATTATTGTAGAGATGAGGTCCCGCCAAGTTGCCCAGGCTGGTCTTGAACCCCTGGACTCAGGCAATCCTGTCACCTCCGCCTCCCAAAGTGCTGGGATTACAGGGGTGAGTTATTGTGCCCACTTGAGACCTTGTCTCTAATGTATAAAAGCCAAGGTTGGGGTATGATAGCTCATCCCTGTAATCCAGCAATTTGGGAGGCCAAGGCAGGAGGATCATTTGAGGCCAGGAATTCAGGACCAGCCTGGGCAACACAGTGAGACCTGGTCTCTACAAAAAAAATAAAAAACTAGCTAGGTATTGTAGCATGCACCTGTGGTCCCAGTTATTTGGGAGGCTGAAGCAGGAGGATCACTTGAGCTCAGGAGTTTGAGACTACAGTGAGACATGATTGTATCACTGCACTCCAGCCTGGGTGGCAGAGTGAGACCATGTCTCAGAAAAAAAGAAAAAAGATGTTAAGAGGCTGGGCCTGGTGGGTCACGCCTTTAATCCTAGCACTTTGGGAGGCTGAGGTGTGAGGATTACTTAAGCACAGGAGTTCAAGACCAGCCTAGGCAAGATAGTGAGACCTTGTCTCTACAAAAACATCAAAAAATTAGCTGGGTCTGGTGGCACGCACCTGTAGTCCCAACTACTCAGGTGGCTGAGGTAGAAGGATCAACTGAGCCCAGGAGGTCAAGGCTGTGGTGAGCTGTGATTGTGCCACTGGACTCTAGCCTAGGTGACAGAGTGATACCCTTACTCAAAAAAAAGGATGTTGACCAGGCTCGGTGGATCAGCCTGTAATCCCAGCACTTTGGGAGGCCGAGGCTAGTGGATTACCTAAGCCCGCCGGTTCGAGACCAACCTGGGCAATTTGGCAAGACCTCGTCTCTACAATAAAATAAAAAATTAACTGGGTGTGGTAGCGTGTGCCTGTAGTTCCGGCTACTTGGAAGGCTGAGGTGGAAGGATCACCAGAGTCCAGCAGATCAGTGCGGGGGTGGCCATGTGTGTGCCACTGTACTCCAGCCTGGGTGACAGAGAGAGACACCGACTCCAAAAAAGAAAAAAGGATGTTGTTGAAAATCATTCAGTTCTGAGCTCAGAGCTCATAGGTTCAAGACCAGCCTGGGCAGCATGGCAAGACCTCATCTCTACAATGAATCAAAAAATTAGCTGGGCGTGGTAGCATGTGCCTGTTCCAGCTGCTTGGAAGGCTGAAGTGGAAGGATCTACCTGAACCCAGCAGATCAAGACTGTGGTGGCCATGAGCATGCCCCTGCACTCCAGCCTGGGTGACAAGAGTGAGACTCTGACTCAAAAAAAAAACCAAAGGGAAGAGAATTATTCATTGGCTTAGGAGGATGCTTACATACAGTGAATGGGGGAGGATAAGTAAATTATAATACTGTGTGATGATCATTTTTCATACAAGTATATGTAAAAAGTTGTCTGTGGTTGTACAGGTATTTTCAAAATTTTCTATGTTGAATATATATTTTCCATGAACACAGCATCATTAAAATGAACATAAGTGAGAAATCAGAAAAAAGTGATGATAAAGCTGACCCTTGGCGTGGATGCTGTGAAACTGTGCACCAAATACATTGCAGTGCTCTTTTAGAAGGCGACGGGGTGCAGTGTATTTCAAGAAAAAGAATGTGTATACTTTTTGATACACAAGGACATTTCTTTTTACACATTTATCTGAATAATTCCAGAAAAAACTAAAAGTTGAACATTGTGGCTTTATTCTTAGTAGCAACAAGTAAGCACAATCTTAAATTTCTGGCTGGTCTTGATGACTCATACCTGTAATCCCAGCACTTTGGGAGGTGGAGGAGAGAGGATTACTTGAGCCCAGGGGTTCGAGACCAGCCTGGGCAACTTGCCGAGATCTCGTCTCTACAATAAAAATTTAAAAATTAGCTAGGCATGGTGGTGCACACCTGTAATTCCAGCTACTTGTGAGGCTGAGGCAGAAGGATCCCCCGAGTGTGCCACTGCACTCCAGCTGACAGAGTGAGATTCTGACTAAAAAAAAAAATTTTTTTTTAATTCATTAAAGCTAAATTAGCCTGGTATGGGGCGCATGCCTGTAGTTCCAGCTACTTGGAAGGTTGAGGCAGAAGGATTGCCTGAGCCCAGAAGGTCGAGGCTGCGGTGGCTGTGAGCGTGCCACTGCACTCCAGCCTGGGCAACAGAGTGAGACTCCAACTCAGAATAAAATAAAATAAAATAAATTCATTAAGGCTAAATGTCTGATAGTTGGAAAGTGATTGAGTTATGGTACACGGAATATTATGCAACTTGTAGAAAGCATGTTTATCTAACCTATATAGTAAAATGGTAAGGTAAAATTGTATCATGAAGCCAGGCTCGGTGGCTCAGCCTGTAATCCCTCGCTTTGGGAGGCCGAGGTGAGTGAATTGCCTGAGCCTGCGGGTTCGAGACTCGCCTGGGCAACTTGGCAAGACCTCATCTCTACAATAAATCAAAAATTAGCCGGGCGTAGTAGCGCGCGCCTGTCATTCCAGCTACTTGGAAGGCTGAGGCGGAGGGATCGCCTGAGCCCAGCAGGTCAAGGCTGCGGTGACTGGGAGCAGCCACTGCACTCCAGTCTGGGTGACAGAGTGAGACTCCAACTGAAAAAAAAATGAAGGGAAGGACACACATAAATGTACACCATTAGTTTATTTACAAAGATAGAATTGAGAGTTATTAACAAAAAAGTGTATTACTAGTACAATGCAACCACAATAAGTAGACATGTATAAAACACGTGGCCTGGTAAGTTTGAGACTACGCAGATTTAAACTTTTGGCTTTTGGGATGCTCTCATTTGCAAATCCTTGGATTGATTATTTCCTTTATCTTGGACTTGTTTATAGCAGTCTAGTGTTGACCTCCCCACCTGCACATGTAACCTACATCCTGCTTGAAGAACTGGTGTTCTAAGTAAAGGCAGCCATGGGCGATCATTCTGAAGGGATAAGGATGGTTGATCAGGAACAGCGCTCGCAGGGGCCCCTTTGTCCTGTTGCGGCTTGTGTCTCATGTATCATGGCTCCTTCTTTTGTCCAGTCAGAGTTCCATTCTTCTCTCACTTTTTTTCTGTTAGGCTACTAGCTGCTAAAACAGGAATCTTTCTCAAATAAGTATTTATTGCCTGTCCATGTAGGGAAGTGTTAGAGCGCTTTGACTGGGGCACCATGGGATGCTCTCGTAGAGGCATAAATGTCTGTCTCTTGCTTTTAGTTCTTGATATTTGCACCGGAAGGGTTTGTTTGTCAGATAGAGATGCTGAGGCTTGAGGTGGAACACCTTGCCCGGGATTCTGTTACTCCTTGGGTCCTTAGAGTCTCACACCACTGCCATCACTATTCCTGTTCAGTCCTAATCCAGATCTCTGTGGTCTCTCATATAGCACCCTTCTCCTTCCTTGTGAGTCCCTTGCTTGGCTCTGTCATATTCCTCTTTTTTTCCTTTTCTAGAAAGAAAAGTCAAAATCGAACAGTTCAGCAGCCCGGGAACCTAATGGCTTTCCCTCTGATGCCTCAGCCAATTCCTCTCTCCTTCTTGAATTCCAGGGTGAGTTGCATCCATATGTCTTCCTTGCAGGAAATAGAAAACGTAGATGAACTCAATAACAATCATAGTTCTGTGTGTCATCTCAGTGCCTGCCGTTTGCAGGTGTTTTGCTAGCCATTTTCCGTAAGTCTTTTCATTTAAATCTCACAGTAGCCCTGCAAGACAGATGATAGTATCCTCCCTTCCAGTTAAGGAAACTGAGGCTCAGAGGGGAGGGGTTACATATCTAAAGTTACATGACTGGTAAGTGATGCACTCCAGGTTAGGTCCTGGTTTTCTGAATCAGAAGCTCTTTTCTTTACTCTGTGTGTTTTATGATAGCCTTAGAGTAGGCTATCTGAAGCCAAGGCTTCTGCCTCTCCACTGTTGGCACCAGTTCTGCCCCTGAGCTAGTCCCACCTGTGTCAACACTGCAGTCACATATTACCTTGTACGTCTACGTGCCAGTTACTGTCTACAAAGCCCTTTCAATTCATTTTCTTACTTCTATCCATGTAGCAGCCTGTGATATAAGCCAAGCAGTTATCATCCCTATTTGAGGAAACGGATACTCAGAGAATGATGTTTTCCTAAGCTCAAAAGTGACAGAACTTTATTGTTTTTATAATCAAATACTGCTTCCGTTTTAGTGTGGAAATTAATGGTCTTTGTAAGAGTAATGACTAGAGTGGACTTACGACTTTCTCTTCAAAACTAGACTTGGAGCTAACCCTGTATGCAGTTATCCCCTCCTCACCTCTCTCCCAGCTCCACCAAGATCAGTGTCCTATTGGAGAACACAAGGGAACAATTCTCTTTAACTGTGGGGTGTTCAATATTCATGACACTCTGGCATAGTCATAAAGACATATGAGGCTTGCCGGGTGTGGTGGCTCAACCCTGTAATCCTAGCACTTCGGGAGGCTGAGGCAAGAGGATTGCCTAAGTCCAGGGGTTCAAGACCAGTCTGGGCAATTTGGCAAGACTGTGTCTCTATAATAAATAATAATAATAGTAAATTAGCTGGGTATGATGGTGCACGCCTGTAGTTCCAGCAACTTGGAAGGCTGAGGCAGAAGGATTGCCTGAACCCAGCAGGTCGAGGCTGCGGTGGCCGTGAGCATGCCACTGCACTCCAGCTGGGGCAACAGAGTGAGACTCCGACTCAGAAAAAAAAAAAAAAAAGACATATGAAACTCCACTTCCTCAGCCTAATCATCTCCTTTTCATTCAGTAAACATTTAGTGAGCTCCTACTGTGTGCCAGATATTGTGTATTGCACTGGGGAGTCAAGGACAGATAAACCACTAAACCTGCCCACACAGGTGAGTAGAATAATAAGTGCAGGTGTGCACAGGCTACAGCAGGAACATGAGAGAGGGTGGTCATTTCTACCCACGTGGGCCAGGGAGGCAGGGTTCTGAGGGGAAAGTAATGCTCGAACTGAATGTTGGAGTGGAGAGGGGCTTTCCAGGAACACTGGAAGAGAAAGTCCTCCCAGCACAAGGAGCAGATGGGCAGAAGCACCTGTGCATGAAGCAGCCCTTGGGGCCAAGGCTGCCTATAGGGGAGTGGCAGGCAGTGAGGCCAAAGATCAGAAAGGACTTGGTCTGTTGTGCTAGGGCCATCTTGTGTATGCCATGAGAAGCACTGGAGTGTGACAATTATCCTGCAGGCAGCAGAAGACCATTGTAGGGTTTGGAAATATCACTCTGTGCAAGGCAGTGGTGCGAGGTTCTGTTTGGAGCACACATGACTGGAGGCAGGGCCGTTAGTTGGGTGGCATTGCAGGAGGTCGGCCAGAGATCATGAGGCCAGAATGAGTTGTGGGAAAGGAAGAAGTGAGCACAAGTGGCATCGGAGCAGGAAGGTGGATCCAGTTTGGTGACAGGCAGCTGGAGGTGAGGGAGAGGAAGGAGCTGTTAGAACTTGGGTCTTTTCACTTTGGTGGTGACTTTAAGCCTTCAGAGTTCCCAGATGATAGTCCTTCAGTCCTCAGGACAGTTAGGCAGCCAGAGCCTGAGCTGACCACCTCCAGGCACCACCAGCCTCCTTCAGATCCCCTAGAGTGCCAGATGAAGTTCATTGTTTTTTCCACATTTTGTGATGTGAGAAAGATTAGGAAATGTCGACGGAAGCACATCTACACCCCTCCCTTCCACCACACAGTGAGAGACCACACAAGAGCACATACCTCTGACTTCCGCACAGATGACTCCCAGCCCCCCACTCTTGGCCAGGAGATCCTCGAGGGTGAGTCGTAGTGGACCCAGGATCAGCATCTTGAAGGGGCCTCACTTTTTGCTCCTGATGTATGTGGTGGATACTAAAGAAGGGATTCATAAGCATATCCTGAAGTGTAGGTGTTGCATAGACTTAAAGGTTCTGGGTGCGTGTACTGCTTCGAATATATGAGGTGAAATAGAAAAGGCTTAAATTAATCAACTTAGACTCTGCTGATAGTTTGCATTGCATAGAAGCCTCACAAGTAGTATCCGCCTTTTCAGGAGGAATCTCCAGCAGTGATTATTGTTGTGTCCATCCTTGTGTCCATGGCTGCCTAAGAGGTGCCAGGTCCTGGCTCTGTGCTGAGTTCCTCTTGACGAAAACGACCATCCTCAGCTGTTGCCTTTGTTGTGTTTGGTTTCCAGATGAAAACAGCAACCAGAGTTCTGTGTCTGATGTCTATCAACTCAAGGTGGACAGCAGCACCAACTCCAGCCCCAGCCCCCAGCAGAGCGAGTCCCTGAGCCCAGCACATACCTCTGACTTCCGCACAGATGACTCCCAGCCCCCCACTCTTGGCCAGGAGATCCTCGAGGGTGAGTCGTAGTGGACCCAGGATCAGCATCTTGAAGGGGCCTCACTTTTTGCTCCTGATGTTTCCCGCCTTTAGAGTAAGCGGTTAGAGAGTGTGCCTCAGAGCCTGGCCACAGCAAGCCATTTGTTGACAACTTAGGATGCTTTGAGGAATAATATATATTTTACCCTTTCACAGAGTAAAGGGAGAAAACAAGCATTACGGTTGAGTGCCAGGCTCTGTGTAAGGAACTTCTGTACTTCGTGCCTAGTGTAATTCTCTCAAAACCCTGTGAGATGACAGCTGTTGTCTCCATTTTACACATGAGGAAATGGAGTGAAGGCTTAGAAAGGTTCAGTAGAGACTGCGTGTGGCAGCTCATGCCTATAATCCCAACACTTTGGGAGGCTGAAGTGGGAAGATCTCTTGAGCCCGGGAGTTGAACACCAGCCTAGGCAACATAGTGAGATCTTGTCTCTATACAGAATCAAAATAGCCAGGCACAGTGGTGCATGTCTATAATTCCAGCACTTTGGGAGGAGTAGGCGAGAGGATTGCCTGAGCTCAGGAGCAGCCTGAGCAACATGGTGAGACCTCATCTCTACAATAAATCAGAAAGTTAGCCAGGCATGTTGGCGCATGCCTGTGGTTCCAGCTACTTGGAACACTGAGGCGGAAAGATCACCTGAGCCCAGCAGGTTGAGGCTGTGGTGACCATGAATGTGGCTGACAAAGTAAGACTCTTATTTAACAAAAAAAATCAGGCAGGGTGTGGTGTCTCACACCTGTAATCCCAGCACTTTGGGAGGTAGAGGGCAAGAGGATTGCCTGAGTCCAGGGGTTCAAGACCAACATGGACAACATGGCGAGACCTTGTCTCCACAATAAATCAAACAATTAGCTGGGCATGGTGGCGCGTGCCTAGTGCCTTTAGTTCTAGCTGCTTGGAAGGCTGAGGCAGAAGGTTTGCCTGAGCCCAGCAGGTCAAGGCTGCGGTGGCTGGGAATGTGCCACTCCAGCCTGGGCAATAGAGTGAGACTCTGCTCAAAAAAAAAAAATAGCCAGTCTCAGTGGCTCAGCCTGTAATCCCACGCTTTGGGAGGCTGAGGTGAGTGGATTGCCTGAGCCCACGGGTTGGAGACCCACCTGGG